AATTAATTATTATATAATATATATTTATACTATAATATAAATATTTATATATATAATATAAATTTTATTTATAATTTAACTAAATGTATTATTTAATAAATATAAATATAAAAATAATTTATATATTTACTAAATAATTTAAATTAATGTAATATATATATATATATATATAATATAAATGTTTATATAATATAATTTTTTGTTTTTCGTAAAAATATAGTTTAAGTTAGAAATAATAGAAGTATTCGAAGTCTAAAAAAAAAAAAAAGAAAAAAAAACCAAAATTAATAATGTTACGTTCGTGAAAAATCCTGTTAAAAAGTTACTCTAGAGATAATCTAAAAACAAAAAGAAAAATAAACTTTTTGAGCCTTCATTAAAGTCACTTTTGTGATACGGACTGTTATATAAAAGTTTCGTTACCGTTGAAGAAACAAAGCAACATATTTTAATGTTACTTTTTATTTCACCATTACACGTGGTGATTTGATCATTGATTCACATTTCTATTTAAATTTGTTTCATAGAAACCACAATGAAGAGGAAAGAAGGGGGAAAAGGGTTTCATAGCAATTAAGACATTAAATTTCGATTCACTGAGTTTTATTCCTGTTCTTTTTCTTTCTTTTACTTTTCTATTTGTGTATCATCTCGTTTAACTTGTAACAGCGATCTCAAAGGAAGGTTTTCTTGCTCTTTTTTTTTTTTATTCCTTTGAGGACGATAAAAGAGGAAAAAAATAAGAGAAAATAAAAAGAAAATTTGTCCGGATGCAATAGTTCGACTTCATCTTGTTCTTCATGCATACAAACGCGTAACATTTTTTCTTTTTCTTTTTCTTTTTCTTTCTTTCTTTCCTTCTTTCCTTTACAAATGCCTCAGGGTGTACACATTTTCTTTAAATAAAAAAAAAAAAAAATAAAATTTTCTCGGAAAATCGGCTGGTAATATTTATAATAAATAAAAAAAATCATTTAAAATAAAATCTCTTCCTTCTTTCTTTATTTATTTATTTTATTTATTTATTTATCTATTTTTATTTTTATTTTTATTTTTTTTCTCCTCGTTTTTAATAAAAGGAAATTTCCTTTTTAAACGTTGAAATATATTTTACATTTTACGATCGCTTATAAAAATTCAATGCTCTGGTACAAAAGCTACGTTCACGGATATTGAGTTTGAAAGTTTTTAATATTATTATTATAATAATAATAATAATTATTATTATTATGAAAGTAGGTATTAATTTCTCAGCGTGACGCTGATATTTATTTTTATTATTATTATTGCTATAATAATTATACTTTTTTTTTTCGTTCTATCAAAGCTAAATAATAGGAAAATGTAGAATAATATTTCCTTTTTTAAATTGACGAAATTGTTTAGAAAAAAAAAAGAAATAAAAATAGTAGAATTTATAATATAATAAATAAAATTCAAGTAAGTTAAATATTTGTAATTTTTAGAATAAAAAAAAAGAAATGAAAAAAGAAGAATAAATCCTTCTTAAAAATTTGGTTCCTAAATTAGTATAAAAATATAATTTATATCTATTCATTTTAAATTTATTTAACAAAGTTAATTGGTATAATTAAAATATACAATACAATAAATAAACATGGAGAGAGTTAATTATTTTTAATTGTTAGAATTAAAAAAAAAAAATAAAAAAAAGAAGAAGAAAGCCTTTCAAAAATTTGAGTCTTAAATTTGTATGAAAATGTGATTTAATTATAATTAATAACTTATATATAGTAATAATAATAATAATAAAAATAAAAATAATAATAATAATAATAATAATAATAATAATAAAAAATTAGAAATAAATAAATATAATTAAATAATAAAATAAAATAAAATATTATATTAAATAATAATAAAATTAAAATATATAAATAATATATAATTTATTATTTATTATTTATATAAATAATTATAATAAAATAAATTTAATAAAATTATAATATTAATATATGTAAATGCAAATTTTGTGTATTTGCATTTAAAATATATAAATTATAATATTAGTATAATATATAAATGTGAAAGTAAAAGATTTCTTCATTGAAAATAAGGTCGAGTCATGCTTCGCGTGAGATCGTAAGATTACTACTACTACTATTACTACTACTACTACTACTATTACTACTAATAGTACCACTATGACAAAAGATGAATCCTATCCATTCAAGCCTTTCATTCAAGGTGTTCTTTATTAAAGTGGCTATAATTTCATTTCGACAACAATCATGCTAACGTTTCACGTATAGCGTGAGAAAACTCCTCTTATCGATCTCATGGGGTGTTTCATCAATGAACACTGAACACAATTTTTCTCTTTTAAATGAAAACTAATTTTATTTTCTTTTTTGGTTATTTTTAAACTATAACAACTTCCACTTCATTTAACATTTTTTATAAAGAATTTTAATTTTTTTTTTTCATCGATTAACTATAACTTTATGTTAAATATTTTCATTAATAATTTCAATCTTTTCATACTTTTTTGTTTTATTAATTTTACAAATATATAATAATAATAATAATAATATTTTTAATATATCACAAAATATGACGAATAATTATTAAAAAAAAAATTATCAACAAAAATTATCGCGAATATAAATTAAAATAAAATTTAGTATATCACAAAATATGTCGAATAATTATTAAAAAAAAAAAAAAAATTATCAACAAAAATTATTATGAATATAAATTAAAATAAAATAAATATTAAAAAAGTTCATTTTTATACGACAATATTATACCACTTGGAATAATAATTTTATTAAATTATTTTGTTGTTGTTTTCATAGAATTTTTGAAAATTTAGTTGAGTATTACTTTAGTGTACACATATCATGTTACGCAGTAAGGTCGATAACACCATAAGCTTCTTTGTACAAGATCAGATACTATTTCTCATCCCTTCGTATATATAAGCATATTCTTACGTATATATACATTGAAATCTATACACATACACGAACTAAAATTTATATACCTTATCCACCCACTCACACAAACACAGGTCTTCGCATTATCTATCTCTTTTTCTGTCGCTGATCTAATTTCACGTGGAAGGGTGGAAGGGTGGGAGGCAACTCGATAGTACTTCTAAATGTTTAATTTTCCCCGTTCCTGTTTTTAGTCCATTTCTTAAGACCCGGCGGCTCTTAAGGAAGAAAAAGGAAAACGAGATGGTCGTTTTCCTTTAGTTTGAACCATCCTTTACGTATGTATGTGTAACTTTCGTAGTAATACGCTACTCTCGAAGCACTACATGCATTACGTATGTGTTTTCCAAAAGTACCCTAAGGGTATATATCTTGGATATCTATATGTAACCCCCTTAGTTTGAGTATACTTTACTCACGTGCCGAAAATATACCAGTCAAATCCTTTTTTTTTTCTTTTTCTTTCTTTTATTTTTTATTTTATATAAGTTCAAAAGATATCAAAATAATTTAGTAATTAATTCATTTATGTAAGAATATATTTTACAATGGTTTTTTTTTTCTTTTTTATTTTCCTTTGCTTTTTAAAGAAACAATATCGTTGATTAATTTAATGGTTTCGTTAATTTATTATAAATATATATATATATATATATTTTTATAATATTTATGGTTAATTTTTAGCAAGTCTAAATTATAATATAATATATATTAATAATAATATAATATAATACATATATATTATTTTATTTATACATTATTATTAATATATAAATAAATAATATTTATAAATAATAAATTAATA